AAACGAAACTCAAAACCAGGGCTTTTCAGAAGAGGGAGAAAGAAAAGGAAAGAGAAGGCAACCAAACCCATGCCTTAGGATCCCACCCCTAAGGTGTGGTTGGTGCTGATGTCTGTGCCAGCCTGCTGATTTATGGAGGAGATATTAAGGTCTGAGATCAGTACTTCAGCAGAGCTCGGAAATGCAGCTGCAATGGGGACAGTGCTACAAATCCTTCCATTATATTCCAAACATTCCATGCTCCTTCCAAAGTTCAGTGTGTCATTCTTCCTCCTCCCGTTCAAAAGGAGGTGGTAAAGGCACCCTGGCTAAAGCTGGCAGGATAAGAGGTTTGTGTTCCCCTCGCGTGCCCGTGTTCAGCAGCAGCCTCCCTGTCAGCTCTGGTGTTTCGGAGCAGCTTGTGGAAAATATTTGACTCCATTTCCACAAACTGAGGTCTCCCGACTGTTAGAAGCTACCGAGATGAGGAGAATGGCTCTTGTGGGACAGTTGAGAAAGGTGATTAGGACTAAGCAAGGATTTCTGAGAGAAAAGACTGGATCGTGGACCCGGGCAGCTCATCTTTTTGCTCTTTTTAAAGGTCTGCTTAAAGTCCCAGTTTTATAACAGATGTCAATACCCTCTCCTATTTGTAAAATTCAGTGAAATATGTGGATTTTTCTTCTCAGTGCAGTTCTGAGCTTTGATTCCTTATCTCTTTGCTAGAAGGAAGCCCGTTTCTGGGGCCAGCAGCTGAAAGTTCTATTTCTGTGCAGTTTACGACGCAACTTCCAACACACAGGTTTTGTCTTTGGCTTTAGCCCTGTGTTTCAGAGAGTGCCTCAGTTCCTGAAGCTGCGACTTGCAGATAAGGCAACGCACCGTGAATTTAGTATCCAAATTTACAACTGATTCCTGGGTTCTGAAGCTCTCATTATTCTTCATATTTGTGGCAAGCCGATGTGTGCTTATGCTGACGTTAACTTGGTATGTAGAAGAGCTTGTGTTAGCCTCTATCAGGTGCCTGTGGTTTTTGTGGTTGGCTGTTTGGTGCTGCTTTCTAGTCTAGTGAAAAACTCTTCTGGCTTTGCAAAAATTCATTATAACACCCCTCGCTAAGCCCGGGTTGTTTCATGTTTGCGTAAAAACGCATCTAATGTTTTGCTTTTCATACAGCACTATGTAGGACTACTTTTTATTAAAAAACAAACCTTTCTGTGCAGTGATCTGATATGGAGCACTGCATTTCCCCACCACAATTCCTCCTGCACTAAAAGCCGAGCGGGGAGAAGTGCTGTAAATAACATGTTCCTTCACTTGTTGCATGACTAATCTCTAATGTATCCTGCTTAACTTGTGTGAAACTAGTAACCATGCATCACACGTAAACAAGGTGGTTCACCCCAGGTTAAACAGCGCGTTACCATATTAGGGCTGCTTTAAACGATTATGGAAAAGGAACGCCGTGTGGCCTCAGCACCTCTTCCATATTCAAGGCTTTTAAAAGAGGAGGAGCAACTCTGGGTAAATACTCAAAATGGGGAAGGAAGGCAGGGGAGGCGGAATCCGCATCTACATAAACTGTTCAACAGACTGAAGAAAGGAAATGCATCCTTAAGCAATGCAAAATTTATTCTGCTTTACCTATAAACATAAGCTGTTCTGGCACTCATCCCAAATGTCTGGGATTGGGCCTTTTTATATGCATATATTGGTTTTGCTAAATATATCTTTCACCAAAAAAATCCTCACGGAAACAGCAGGCATGATTCAAAGTTTTTTTTCTATGTTTCTCTAGTTGTTTTCTAAAAGACATTGTGGAAACTAATGCAATCTTTTCAGAGTCTCCAGTAATGTTTTAAGTTTGAAAACTTTTTAGGTTTAATGGACAAGCTGTAATTCATACAAAAGTTATTCTTAATTAGATAACTATGGTATATATTTCTCTCCTCCCTGCCCCAAATTTCCTTGCTAAAGTACCATCCTAAATTGAAAATATTTGGGCAGTTGTCAAGATGAAGGGCAGGAAATGACCTACAAAGGGAGCAGGTGACAGACATGCTGTCACACAGCCTAGAAAAAGAATGATTAAACCCTGCGTCCCAAAGGGCTGTGTCTGGAGGGCAGGACACTTTCTTCCATTCCATGTATAATCTTTTCATTGGATTCAGGTGTTTTCCTCTGTGGATTTATTTATTTATCCTCTCTCCCAGTGGTAATTTGCAAAGTATTTTGAACTTTACAGGATTCTGCAGCTGAATGCTACAGTACTGTGACAAAGTGCATCTAGTTAGTTGGCTTATGGGTGTTCCCAGTCCTAGCATTGGATGCGAGTCCAATAATGCAGTAATTTAGCTAAATGTTTCTGAACTGTGTTTTGTTTTGGTTTGGGGACAGAGTTGAATGCTCCAAGTGTGACTGCAGGACCCGCTACCAGCTGCCTTTCCTTCAGGCTCCCGAGATAAATGGGAATGCTGAGGATGGAAGCAGTGCTGGTCCATGAGGAAAAGGCCACAGACTCCCCTCGCTGAATCATTTGAGCGTCTTGAGACTCAGCCACAGCTTTTCCCTTCTTTCGGGCAGTTGGGACGAGGAGTATGGCCCTAATGTGGGGATTAGAGCGAGCGTTGCCCCTGGCTGTTACGGCCTGGTGCAGCAGAGCAAGATGTGCATGTGCTGCAGCTGCCCTCGTGCCTCGGGGCAGGCGGTGCAGGATGCTCCCAAGGGAATGCAGAGCTGGGCCTGGGAAACGCGCTCCTCTCTCCAAGCCTTGCTCCTGGATAACCATTAGCCAGGTCATCCCCTTCTACATCTGCAAAGGGAACAGCCCTGCTGTCGTTATCGTCTTGCAAAGTGTCTGAAGCTCCACAGGTGGAAAAGGGCTACCTAAGAGGTTAAGAACAGTCGTGTGTGGATACTTTTATTGTTTTTTTATTTAAGTGAGGGTAGGAAAGAAGACTTTGTTCTGCAATGGAATTGCCTGGGCAAAAGGGGGTGTTCATCTGCTTTGCTTAAAAACTTCAGTTTTCTTTGTCAGAAGTATTTTATGCTATTAAAGTGTTAAATACAAGTTATCTAAATAGTTTTGGAAATTAAAAGAAGTGTATCTGAGAAATATTTGTAAATTTGTCTCTTGGAGTGCTTTTTAAGTTATAGACAGGATTGTCTTTTAGGCACGTGATTACAAATCTAGCATCAATCAACTCGATGTTTGCTACTGGAACTTCTCTAAAATGCTTTTTAAAATAGTAGTTTGATGTTTGCTACTGGAACTCTAAAATGCTTTTTAAAATAGTAGTTTCAGACTCCTGGCCAGGTGTAAGTACCCTTTATTCTCATAGGTAAAAAAAAAAGAGTGAGAAATCTCTGGGGTGTTTCTTGGTGCTTGGGAGGAGGGTGTTTTTTTCTGTTTCCCTGTTTTTTTTACTGATAACCATATGGCACTGCTGACAAATTCAGCCTGGCTTCAGAGCTCTCCGGGGTTGCTAAGAGCTGTCAGATGACACTCGCTCACATGAGAGCCATTAACAGGGTGTTGTAGCTGGTGTTAGAACAACCTTGCAGCAATGAAGGGCGAGTCACTGCAAAAGCAACTCGGCCTTTTTTTCCCCTCTCTCAGAGGCCATATGGTTCGGTCTTGTGACTACATAATTGCCAGCTACCTAATCACATACCAGGAAGCAAACATAGTTTAAGTCAATATTAGTTGTTGTATCTGCTGCGGCTTGGTACCAGGCTTGGGAGAAAAGCTCGGCAGCAGGAGCAAGCCCTTGGCTTCCAAAACGTGGAAATAAAGTCATGGTTGCTCTGCTTGGGATAATTACTGCGGCATAGCAGCTATGGATCTCCTTCTGCATTAATGGCTTGTAAAGCCTTGTTATTTTTATTTATTATTTTTTTTCCTTCTCCTTAACAAGAAATTCGACAGACCGTGTTCCTGTTTGAAGAAGAAAGCTGCTAGTAATTACTGCTGTTAATGGTTGATCTATAGTAAAGAAACCTGCTTGCGGCCGCATCTCTCCAGTTTGTGTTTTCGAAGGAACCTTGCAAGAGCATCTTCAGAATCAGAAAATGTGTGGTGGGGCACCAAAAGCTACGAATGGCAGGGAGGGGCGAGGGGAAGGAGCACACAACAACCACGTTTTACTTGGAAATAACCTCTCTCATAGCAGACTGGATAAAAGGATTAGAAAATCTTTAGGAGAGCGAAATGTCAGCCGTGTGAGCAGAGGCACTGACCTGCTGCGAGACAGGTATGCATGTCATTTTTCTTTTATATACATAATTTCTGACAGACAGTGGATATTCTAAGCTGATACTGAGTTTATAATGATGTGCTTAAGAGGGTACACTGTGAATAATTTAGAAAGCTTTCCTAGCACCGTAGTCTGGTTGCTGTTGGTGACTGATATCCAGAAAGCCTTTCTTGCTTTTTGGAGTGGAATCTACATTCTTGATTCTTTCTGTGTGCTTTCAAACTGAGGTCTGAAGCAAAACTGGCTTCCTTTTCAGATGAGGAGAAATAAAGTAAGATAATCTTACCTTTCTAATTTTCTAATTAGCTCCCCTCCTCTTTTAATTTTTAAAATTTTATATATTTTTTAACATCCTGTGTTAGTGGGTCAAGTAGTAATAGCTTGCAGTGAACGGGGGGAATGCTGTGAAGTGAGGGCAGAGCGGAGAGGGGCAGCCACCAGAAGCACCTGTAGGTGATCCCTTGTCAGTGCTGTGGATGAGTCCCTTAGCTTGGTGGTGATGCCTTTTCCAGGCATGTGCCAGGGTGGCTCTGGTGTCCTCATGTGTGAGTGTCCACTGCTGCACTGCTGTAATGTGAAAATACAGTCCAGGGCAGCTCTGAAATTCTAAGCCAGGGTGTGAGGGTAGAAAAGGTGCTTTCAGGACTGCTGACCTGAAAACCAGCAAATACATCCTCGTGTGTGTGTATAAATACACGTTTAAGGTCCTTTTTTTATTTCTTTAGCCTGCGGTGTTATACTGAAATATTGGCTAGTATCCTTCTAAAGTCGTTCTGAGGACAACTGAAGGAGCTTTCCAGTCTAAACAAATGGATGACTATTTAGTTATTGCATACATGCAGTGATTGCTAAAAAGATGAGCTGAAAGCTGTCTTTGTAAAGATCAGTGTTTCAGGATCTACATTGGCTGAAAATATTGATTCAATATGAGGCAAACTTGCATAACTCTTCCAGAAACCAACTACTCTGCTTTTCTCTAATTAAAGATCTCCTTGCCTTCAAGTCTCATACTGAGAATTTCTTCCATAACAGATAAGTCAACGCAAAATGATTTATTTGCTACCTTAGGAGAAAATTAAGCAAATGTTGAGCATAACTCTGTTACGGAATCTGGGGAGAAGGCTTGTTGGGTATCTGTAAGCTCTTTCAAACTTGCATCTTACTTTCAAAAAGTATTATCCATAATGTTTTAATATCTTTAGTGGACGTTTTCCAAGTAGAAAAACTGATGTTCTTGCTGTGTAGACTTAGAAAACTTGTTTTTGTCCTGAAGATCTGCCCTGCAGCAGAACTCGGGTGGCCGCCTGAAGGGCCCAGCAGTTATTGGGGCTGACACAAGCGGGAGCTGCGAGGAGGGGAGAAACGACACGTGGGATTGCTTGGGTTTGTTAGCAAATACGGTGTTTTATTCCATCAGAATAGCCGTGTCTACCCTGAAGAGTGAATATCTACATAAACTTGTGTTCTTTTAATGAATTCAGCTATTTTCAGCTATTTTTTAATATGGAGGACCTAGCATAATGTATTACCGTTAAGCCAAACTGAAGCATTTGCTAGCTGGCAGATGTTTCCAGAACTTCAGTCTCATCACCTCCGTATCTTTCTAGTGTGTTCTTAATGTCAGAACCATTTTGCAAAACAATCAGACCTAGGTAGCTTCAAAAAAGCTTTACTTTTGTTCATTGCATTTTTCAAATTTGTTATCAAACTCACTTAGGAGTATAGATGCGTTTAGCACAGATCACGAGAGACGTTTTAGTATTTTGGTTTTGCTTAAGTCTTTTTATATAAGCAAAAGAGAACAAGTTTTGCATAAACAGGGCCAAGGCAGATGATATTTCAGTTAGCGTATCGTGAAATTCTTATTTTTGGAAGAGGCTTCTAAGCTGGTGGAAAGACGCCGCAGTTGCTTTGCTATCCAAAGGGAGTAATTGTCTTTTGCTCTTGTCAAGCATTCATACTAAATGTGAAGCTAATGCTGGGAATTACGTCTCCCTTTTCAGAAGTAACGCTGTCAATAGTGGGTGCATATGGCAAAACTCCCCATATTACAGCTGCATACGGTTAGGAAAGCTGCTCTGGACAGAAACTGAGCACAAAAAAGCACCTGATGAGGAGTTTATCAACTGAGCATAAGGAAAGCCACTGAGCCTTGAGGCATGCGGTAGGCGAGAGTGTGAACAGTGGTGAGGAGTGAAGAGCCTCCTTTTTGGAGTTCATTAAACATCAATATCATAGCAATTCATCATGAAGTGCACCGCTGAAAGCTTCCCAAGTGCTGCAGGCGGGAAATAGGGGCTTATTCTGCAGCATGGGGTGAGGGGTCTCTTTCTGTTTCAGAAGTAGAAGAATTGAAGCTTTTATGGCAGATTTGTCTTGATCATAGAAAATTCAATTTTGTAGTGTGCAAGTTCTGATAGAAGCTTTTTGTACAGCATTTACCAAACCTTTTCTTTACCTATCCACTACTAGCTAGGAAATATGGTCATCATGGTAATTTCTGTTCCATTAAAGCTAACGTGGGTATCTGATGCGGCCGTGGATGGGAGCGGGTTCAGAGTGCATCTTCTCAAAAGTGTGTTCTTGGGAAGTGTTGAGAAATGCGCATCCCTTGGTCAGACCTGGTGGCTGAAGTTGATTAGTGACTTAACTAATTGAGGGAGGTGAATGCATATGCATGAAGGTGGCCTGAGCTCATCTAAAGCTTTTTGGGGGGTTAGGCTAAAATATTTGTCACATGTATCTGATGTTTTGGTTTTACTTTTTAGGAAAAAACTCATTTATATGAGCGAAGGGGACTTTTTTTCCTTAGTCAAACCCTTAAGCTATTACTTTTGAAAATCTGCACTATGTAGGCCTAATATTCCTTTAATGTGCTTGTGTTTTTAATATACGAACTAATAATTAAAGGAATCCTACCTCTTTTCTAAAATATCATGCATGAAGAACAACCAAAAAGGATTGTCTTAAGTATTGCTAAATAAGCAGGGGGTTGATACAAAGGTGAGAAAATAATATTGGGGTTGTGATTTCTAAATACCTGCAGTGGAGCTGACCAGAGAGGGTCGGTCCTGTCTGTACTTTTCTCTAACACTCTGTTTTTAGGGAATGATCAAATGGCCTCCTTTGGCCCCTTTGGGGCTGTACGTTATGTAATGTGGCTTCAACAATGAAGGGTGGAAGCCCCATAATTGCTGTGTTCATAAGCTTTTGTGAAGGAAAAAAATCCCGGTCATCTGATTAGTCTTGTGCCTGCTTAATTGCTCGTCAGCTTTTGTGAAGGAATCAAAATCCTGGTCATCTGATTAGTCTTGTGCCTGCTGCTCGCTTCCACATGGGGTAATGACACTATGGGCTATATATGCCTCGAACTTGCCTGGAAATAGGCTTGATCTCATCAGATGAGACTTCCCTGGGATGGATCGCTTGAGCAGCGTGGAAGACCGCTCCGTGTCGTTCCAGCCGTGGCAGGGAAGGCTGAAACTCTTGTGCAGGTTTTAAATCAAGGGTATAGATGTCTTCCTTTACCTCGTTGAAAGGAAGGATGACCTCTTCAATAAGCTAGCAAAGTTACTTTGAAAATGGCTCTAATATTGCTTGTTGCCTGTTCCCTCACTGCTCAGGGCAAAACAGCCTTGGCCTGGTCCACGGCCAGCTCCGATGTGTGCTGCACCCTCACGTCTTACTAGTGCACCAAGTCTGCTTGCATCCGAGTATCTTGCAGTCCAGATAGAAGGGAGATTCCTATTTCTGACAAAAGGTCGTTACAGTAAAAATCTTCCATGTTGATACCATCCTTCAGTTTTGGAAAAGGCGCTTATTTAATCTCTTGCTGTTTGGAGGAGGAGTTGGTCTCTGAAATTCCAGAGGGGAGCTGAACCCTGGAATTCAGTATAGGGCACAAGGAAGTGAACCTGGCTTTTGTTGTGCTGTCTGAGTGTGCTTTTAAAGCAGGTGCCCATGGCAGCTCGCCGGGACTTTGGCAGGGCCTCCTCACGGTGCTATGGCTGTTAACAGCATCTGGAACACAACAGCTTCAAAAACTCTTGTCTTTCGGCTGCATGGGGATTTTGTGGCCTTCCAGCCATTCCCCACGTACAATCTCTGTAAGGTGTAGTTTGGGAAAATTCCTAACTGAAACCTCCGTTTAGCGCAGAGTCAGCGTGGCCTTGGCTGAGTCAATTATGCAACATGTTGAACCAACAACCCCTGACACCGGCTGTACCCTCGCCCCGGAGAGGGGCTGTCCCGCGCGCGGGGCTGAATGGACGATAGTCCTTCAGTAAATGTCCAGAGTATTTCAGGGACTGTAAGGACGAAATTGGCTTAGGCTGTTAATTTGGAAATATCTTTAACTGTGAGACAGGCTTTATCTGCTGGAGTGCTTGAGGAGTAGCACCAAGTGTTACAGTCACCACAAATGGACCAGCTTGGAAGGGTGCTAGTGCAATAGAAGGAAGTGCCAGGTGGAATTCACTGGATACCTGTCACACCTAACACAGTTGCAGCAATGTTTCTTCTTTTGCTGGTAGGGTCCAGGGTGAGCCCTGCGTTCAGCTTTTGATTTCGTGTGCAGTAAGATGTGGATGTACCGGGCCTTTTTGAGGTAATGCTCCTTGACAGAAAAGAGCTTGAAGGGGAGCAGCGTTGTGTTGCTTAGGTGAGAGAAGAATGAAGGAGTGCCTGTTCCAGCTCAGAAAAGGCCGTAGCAAAGATGGAAATGACCCGTTCTTCGTTATCACGAGAGAACTGCCAGAAATGGTACACCTGCTTCGAAGTAAGTGTGTCCCAGACTGCCTGGCCAGGGAGGGAAGGAGTACATTTAATAGCTGGCGAGTGCTGGAACAGGTTGCTGAGACCAAGTTTTGTCTTCCCTTTGCACAAACTTCTCCATAAAGGATGGATGAAAGCGTGGGCTGGCTGTACCTGCCTGTGTATCAAAGACATTTGATTTGCAGAGCACTTTGAGTTCCTTTTCAGTCAAAGTTCTGTGTTTACAGTCTGATTCTTGTGAACGCTGAATAAGATACATTTGCTGGATACCTGTTTCCTCTCTTAAACACACTTGCAAATATCATTAACCCTTAAACCACTTTTTTTTTTCTCTCTTTTTTACAATCTATAGCTGGTCCTGCTCAGAGTTTGATCTGAATGAAATCCGCCTGATAGTTTATCAAGACTGCGAGAGAAGAGGCAGACAGGTCTTGTTTGATTCCAAAGCAGTCCGTAAAATCGATGAAGCTGTGGTTCAGGTATGAAATGCTGATTTTGCTCCTGTTCTGTCAATCTTCTGCTTCCTTCCCCAAAAGTAATAATTTTAAAATGATGATGTCAAATTTTTAATCTAGCTTGTGGCTTTTCGCTTGGTCTGAATTCTGTGATAACTTCAAGAAGAGTGTTTTAGATTCCAAAAAGTCAGTGAAAACGTGTCTGGTATTTAGCATCTTTGGATATAAATATGGTACTGGTACTGAACAATTTAGTCCCTATCTTTATTTCAGACAAAGCAATTTATATTAATTTGATTATTTCCTGTCATGTTGCATAGGATTCTTTTGTTCTTGGCCTTGGTTGCCCAGCCCGGTTATTGCAGTGATATCTCATATGCCTCTAACAGTGCTTGCCTTCCTTTAGTGTTTGGATCAGTAAAGTTGTTGGCATTTTGTGAATTTAAAACCACTCTACTTAGGCTAACCACTTAATGTGCAAGGCTGGTGCTCGACAACATATGGTCACATAGCAAACTTCTCATGACACGAATGGAAGCAAGAGTAGGTGCTCCCAAGGTGCAAATTCTTTGTGCCACTCTCCGGGCACACAATTATGGACTAAAGTTTTGGCAAACTAAGGTGACTGTAAGTCAAATAAAACAATAGTTTTTTCCTACTAGCTCTGTACTTATTTTTCTGCATTGAACTGTTTCAAAATTCTGTGTTGTTGGTGGTATTTTTTGTTTGCTTGTTCCTTTTTTGTGGTGTTTTAAGGCTTTTGCTACAAGCAGCACTTTTAGTCTAGCAGACAAGCTCACTGGTCGCTAGCTGTAAAGCTGAGAAATAGCAGTGACTTGTAGAAATGATTCTTAGCAAGATGCCTAAGTGACAGCAAGCATTAATTTCTTAATTTCCAGCTTAAGTAGCACCAATTTCTAACTATTCCAGTCACACTGTGAAGATGCCCTGTTGGGTTTAAGCCGTATTGGTAAGGCTGAGCAGCATCTGCTGGTGAGCAATCATCTGCTTATCAGGATAAATAGGCCAGATGGGACTGTTAATTTCCACCCCCTCCCTCTTCTTGAGTTACAAGCCTCAGTTATTACAGCAGCTTTAAGACCCAAAGTAAAACACCCAGCGTGTAAAGGAGAAGCGTGTGTGTTTTGAGGGGAGTGGGGAATTGTGTTTCTGACTTCATTTAAATGCTCAGGTCATTCCACTCATGTTAAAGGTTAACTCCAAAATCTCATCAAAAACTGTGTGGAATACTGACATAAAACAGCTTATAGCCAGCCTCGTAACACATGGTACAGGATATAATCTGTTTTCTGGTCAGACACTGATCTCTGTACCCTTTAAATAAGCCACATGCTTTTGAACGGTAGGTAGGCACATTGATGTTAGAAGCAATTTGAATGTTTATCCCTGTTTGTTGCTGTGTTATGTTATCAAGCAGCGAGCCTAGGACTGCGTTCGTGTAAACGGAAGGCAAAATTGCTTTTAAGCTCAGGCCTATTTAAAGTGAAATCAAGAATGTGTGTGTACTGTGCACCTATCCATCTTCCAAAACACAGTAGAGCTTTTCTACATCAGCTATTCAAATATACTATTTTTGCCTTTAAGCAGTAGATTTACTTAGGAGAACTAGCAGATCCATATTTGGTTTAACCATGTGTTTTTTTTAAGTATAGTCCATTTCTTTTCAGTGTTCTTAATCAAATGTCCTGCTCTTTCTAAAGATGCCATAAACCAGACCGTGTATTGGGGCACTCATAGTCATGTGGTGACTAACACTTGTGCATTTGTAACCACCTAGTGATGGTCACATTGGGATTAGATAATTAGCAGTTACACTGGCCACGCCAAGAAAAGCTGCACTAGAGGAGTGCAAATGTGCCATAGAGTAAATGAGACAATTCAAGCCATGTGTGCATAAAAGGCTTTGCTTTTTTTGTAACATGCTAAGTTTATTTTTAAATTAATGGAGGAGCCTGAACAGTGCCTACAGCTTAAATTTTTACAAAAATGGTAAGTAAACTTAGCCCACTGCTCTTAGCTCGCTCTTTCCTCTGTATTTTCCCTTTCACCAAGGAAAGTTTTCACTAAGGAGTTTCCGATTTCTTGGTCATTATGCCTTGAATATTCTAAAACTGACCACACCTGCTGAGTTGTAGTATTCAAAAGTATTTGTTTGAAAATGGGGTTCTAGTGCAGTATTTGGTTCCACTTCCATTCCATTTCCCATTCCAGTTCCCGTCATGCCTTACCGAACCCAAAATGTGTGACCTACATTGGGCTGCAGCTGTTTTTATGGTAGCACGTTGGTTATTGCTATTTCAGGCTGGCTCTAGCAGTGCACGTTTCCAATGAGGTAAACCAGACCGACATAAAATGAGCCTTCCAGAGCGGCTGTTGGTGCTGCTGTGCACCAAAGAAATGCATGTGTATATGGATTTCTATTCAGTATACATCCATTAAGCTGTTGGGACTTTCTGAAGCATATCTAAAGTTTCATAATGGGAGCTTTCTAAGATTTTTCTGGGCAATTCATGTTGCTGCAGAGTTGTAGTTTTGTTCCCTTACTATAAATTATTTCAAACACACCTGACAAGCGTGTTCTAAATAATACAGACTTTTCAATTAACACCTAATGGACTTTCAATTTAAAAAACTGTTAAAGAAAACAGGAACTAGGGTGCTTTGTCTTCAAGGTAACTTTCCTTATTGAAGGAAACCTCCAAAAACTTAGTACTGCTTTTCTTATGAAACATGTACAAATTCTACCAAACGAGATATTACTCACCCTTTGTTTTTGCTGGCTGTTCTTCTTTTCAAAGAATTGATTACCAGCTGAGAAACAAAAATAATGCAATTCGGGTGACTAATTTTGCAAATGATTACAGAATGTAATTCACAGGCAACACATAAGCTTAGATTGGTTTATATAAACTTTGACAAATATTGCACAGAACATTCATTCATAGCATCTGGGAGTGATCTTCTACTTGAGCTTTATCTGGCTAATTATTTTGGACTTGAGGCTGATGCTATGCTTGTTTCTGTGGAAAGCATTTTAATAGCAGAATAATTCTGCTCTTGCTGTGATTTTTTTTTTCTTTTAAAAACCTAAACTTTTTTTGGATCTAAATATTCTTATTTTGTTGTTGTACTTGAGCTTTATCTGGCTAATTATTTTGGACTTGAGGCTGATGCTATGCTTGTTTCTGTGGAAAGCATTTTAATAGTGGAATAATTCTGCTCTTTCTGTGATTTTTTTCTTTTAAAAACCTAAACTTTTTTTTGGATCTAAATATTCTTATTTTGTTGTTGTTGCGGAGCAGTTTTTAAACAAAACTCTTAGCGTGGTATATTTACAAATGGACATTTCCATGTTAGTTTTAATTATTTTTGCCTCAGAAGATGACAGAGGATGCTTCTGCAAAGGCTTCTGCCAAGAACTGCCAAGCAAGCAACGGGAGCAACAATGTTTCTTCACACGGTCCCTCGATGAGTTGTATGCAAAATATCAAAGAGCAAATACCGAAGTATCAGGTAATCTTACAAATTTTGAAATGTGACATTTCTATCCAATCTTTGAAGCGTGATATAATAATGGTTTGTGGGTACATTTTCAGCTCTTAATCTGCCTTGACTTCTTGACTTTATAATTGAAAATTTTAGGGAAAAAATATTATTTAAGTCAAAGTGATACATTGCAGTCTCCTTTTTTTCCCCTTTAAAAAGAAGTTTGTCTATGTTACATATATGTTCTGGAAAAGATGTAGAAAATGGTATATTAGGGTCTTCTTAGTTTGTTCTATAGGAATATGATTTTTTTTTTTTAGATATTTGGGTTGAACCCAAGGAAAAGTGCAATTACTTGATCCAGAATAACGTAATTTGAAGCAGAAATAGGTTAAGGGTGTGGAGGGAGGAGCAACTTAAATTATAAAGCAAGGAATTTCCTTCAGAACAACAAACTTGTCTTCATATCTGTGATTGAGATAGGTCTTTGCAATGTGTAGTCCTGTAGCACTGTGTTGAGTTAAAATACTGTGCTGGGCTCCTGCTGACTCTGCTCCCGTGTGCCTAGTACACCAGACCAGCCTCTGATGTCAACATGCTGGGGGAGATGATGTTTGGCTCCGTGGCAATGAGTTACAAAGGCTCCACCTTGAAAATCCACTACATACGGTAAGCATCCTTCCCTGGGATACTGGGTCTTGCCAGGCGCTCGGAGCTGCTGACTCAGATGCCTGTTTATCCTTGCAGCTCTCCCCCACAGCTGATGATAAGTAAAGTCTTCTCAGCCAGGGTAGGAAGCTTCAGTGGAAGCAACAATAAGTAAGCATCTTTGTTTTGTCTTATTCTCCCCTCCTCCTGCCAGTACTGTCATCTTTCCTTCCTTACTGCCTTTTCTTCTGTTGGCCTTCTGCCACTGCCTCTAAATTTGCCTTAGCTGAAGTGGGAAGATGTAGCAAAGAAGAGGAGAAATGGAGGATGCAAGGGGAGAAGTGTGCAAATGCTAGATGTTAGCTAGCCCACCTGCATTAAAAATAACTCACTAAATAAAAAGCTCACCCACTTTCTGCTTTTTGATTTGTCCAGAATGTGCAGCAAACTTTAGAGGTTAGGTGCTTTAAACACTCAAAGCCTCTGACTCTGTCCCTTCTGAGTGCCACAAGGGTAGAGGGTGGGTTTATGTTAGGGTGTCTTTGTGTCCCTATATCTCACTTCTGTTTCCTTCAGCACTGGCAAAGGATGTAGTGTTTCCCATCTGTTCCTGTTTTAATTGTCCCCCAGATGAGGAAATAGGAATAGATTGAATCCTAAATGGAATGTAGAGAAGTTTACAGTAATCAAAGGAGGGACCTTACTGAAGAAAATAAACGACTGCTTCTTTATTGTCTCAGAAAACTTATTGGTCCTTGAGCTGTTTTCCTCTGATTAAAATGAGCCTACGCCTCAACCTGATGCTGACTGTTAACCACCTTCTTTAGAAACACTGGCTTTTTCCCCCCTTTTAGCTTACAAGATAGCTTTGAATACATCAACCAAGATCCCAGCCTGGGAAAGCTGAGCTCTAATCAGAACGGTTTGGGAACCTGTCGCAGTGGAAGTAATTTAGGTAAATATTTTCAGGTTCTATGTCCTCGTCACAATATGAGGCCATCTGTTCATTTAGTTTGGCTTCTTTTTTTTGTTGTTTTTTTTTGTGCGTGTGCATCACCCTTAACTTTATTTTATTTTTTTTTTGCGTTGCGTTTTCTGTCCGTTGCTCTTGTCTCCTAGGTGTGTTGCAGCTGTGCAGCAGCAAACTGCTGCAGGGTGTGTCTGAAGGAGGCCCCCTCCGCCTCATCCGCAGCGCTTCTTTCTTTGCAGGTTTGTGTGGAATGCAGCCACAGTGTGAGCCAGCCCCGTGCACACAAACCCAGCTCAATCCTCGCAGGGGAGCCATAAGCACTCTTCAGAAATAGAAAGGGCTGAGACGGAGAAGAAACAAAACTGAATTTATACTAAATTATTTCCCTCAAAAAAAAGACTGAGTTAATTATTCATTTTCTAATTTCTATGTTCAATTGAAATATATTTTTGTAATATGTGTTTGATAATAAACGAGCCCTTACATTT